CTGTTTTATTTTGTATAAACTGTTCTGTAAATACAAAAACACACAAGTATTCTGCCCCTTTCTACACACTTGTCATCTGAGCTACTTCGTTATAACATCTAAGGGTTCGCAGTTTATTTTGCAATGAGGTAAAACATCCACAGCAGTCTTAATTTGACGGGTTCACTTCCTCACAGTTTTGTGTGAAGAAATACAGTAAAAACGGTTATTGAGGAAATATCTGCCAGTCATTTCCTTTTTGATTAACCTGATCCGCCTGTTGTTATTATATAAATAGCAGTGATGTGAATGTCAGAGGAGGGAGGGGCAGTTTGGGATTAAAAAATAACTAAAGAAAAGTTGATTTGCCTCTAAACATGCAGAAGTTATGTAAGTGAGTTTCTTTTCATCTGAAATACACACTGAGAAAACACAGTCTGCCCTCTAGTGGCGAATCTGTGTATTACATGAAACTTTTCTCTGGGAGTCTGTGTCTCGCATTTGGTGTTAAAAGTTGAACATGAACTGTGACGGAGGCTTCAACTGTAAAATAAAATCCGCGTTTTCTCTCTTGATTTTGAAAACATGAATGAATAATTATTTTCATGTGGATCTCCCAGAGATTTAACCACACGCTTCTAACCACCAGGTGAAGAAGAACAGCTCCCCTCCTCTCTCGCTCTACGGTCAGCTGCTGTGGCGCGAGTTCTTCTACACGGCGGCCACAAACAACCCGTGCTTCGACAAGATGGAGAGTAACCCCATCTGCGTTCAGATCCCCTGGGACCGCAACCCCGAGGCGTTGGCCAAGTGGGCGGAGGGCCGCACCGGCTTCCCCTGGATCGACGCCATCATGACCCAGCTGAGGCAGGAGGGCTGGATCCACCACCTGGCCAGGCACGCCGTGGCCTGTTTCCTGACCAGAGGAGACCTGTGGATCAGCTGGGAGGAAGGCATGAAGGTACAGAAGATTTGATAAATTTGCAGATTTGTTTATTTATTTATTTTAAAATAAGAAAAGGAATTCCAACGCAAAACACTCATGTTCGTTTGTGTGTGTGTGTGTTCAGGTGTTTGAGGAGCTGCTGCTGGACGCAGACTGGAGTGTGAACGCCGGCAGCTGGATGTGGCTCTCCTGCAGCTCTTTCTTCCAGCAGTTCTTCCACTGCTACTGCCCCGTGGGCTTCGGCCGCCGCACAGACCCCAACGGAGATTACATACGGTGAGTTTATCTGACCTGATCCACGCGTGTCCTGTGTGTGTGTGTGTGTGTGTTTGTGTGTGTGTGTGTGTGTGTGTGTGTGTGTGTGTGTGTGTGTGTGTGTGTGTGGTCCCTGTTACAACTGAAATACACGTGGGGGAAGCTTTTAACTGTCTGATATGCCGTGATGCTGACTGTGCGACTCAAGTCGAAAAGGAGTTATGGATCTTTAATCTTTAGATTTGATCTTGTTCATGCACAAAGTGTTAGAATTATTCAGTGTTTCATCCAGGTTAGATGATTTGTAATTGGAAAACCTTCCAAAAAATCTTTTAAAAGTATTACTGGATGAAATGTTCTCCACCTTTTCAGACTAATTGAATTATTCAGTGCCACATATAACTCAGTTTTTGACCTTCAAACGAAGTAAACTGAACTGTATATGTTTCTCATCACTTTTATGTAGTTTTCTTTGTCGTTTGTCTAATTGTGCAAAAGAAATAAAAACTGAAACTAAAAGCTAAGTTGTGTAATTGAACAAAAAAAAACTGCAGCTGTGTGTTTAATGAATGCAGTCAGGCAGGTGGGGTAAATCAGTGCTGGATAATCCCTCCTTAGTAGATGTGAACCTGAGATCTTTAAGTAGATTCCAACACGCTACACGTTCGCTGAACCTCTTCATCTCCTCTCTTCAGGCGCTACCTGCCCATTCTCAGAGGGTTTCCAGCCAAGTATATTTATGACCCGTGGAACGCTCCGGAGAGCGTGCAGAAGGCGGCCAAATGTATCATCGGAGTGCATTACCCGAAGCCCATGGTGCACCACGCGGAAGCCAGCCGCCTCAACATCGAGCGAATGAAACAGATCTACCAGCAGCTCTCCTGTTACAGAGGCCTCGGTAAAGACACAACACCAGACGCTCGACTCATTTCTCACCAACATCTTTAATGTTAATATGAGGCAGGAGCAACAGAGTAAAAATAGGATCACTCAAGCTTAAAAAATAAAAATAGAGTCAGTACTTAGTCACTGAAGTAGTTGACGGTGGATGTTTAGTTCTGCTTTGTCGTAGAAACCAGAATCTTTTCAGTTTCTCTTTCTTGAGGAACGACAGGATGTTTACATCCACTGAGTAAAATGGGGTCAAAGAGGAATGGGTCCTGTTCCCCTATTGATCATGAAAGTAATTGTAAAAATATAAATGCGAGGCAGAAAAGCGTAAAGATGAACAGTTAAAGGAAGATAAACAAGTCAGAGGACTGAGTTTGAAGAAGTGGAGTAAAATATCAGATTTACCTCGGTCTGAGAGAGGCTCCAACGTAACTGATAAAATCTTAAAACTGTTCAAAACTTACAGATAACGACTGTAAAAACTCTAAACTAGCTGTGATTTAGTTTTGGTGATGTAGATCTTGTCTTGTCTAAAGTTCCTGTATTTTGTTATAAGGTGTTGACCGTTCTCTGTGTCCTCAGGCCTTTTGGCTACAGTTCCCTCCAACTCCAACGGTCACGGCGAAGCGTCCTCAGACGTGATGGCATTCCACGCCGAGGCAAGGCATGATGCTACAGCTGCATCAGGTTAGTGACACAACACCTCCTCCTCTTCGTCCTCCTCCTCCTCCTCTCGCTCCGAACTTTCTCATAACTTTCTCTGTAGCCGCCTGCACTCAGGTTTTATTAATGAAGGAGAACTATTTGTTTCTGTTTGGTTCTTCTCAGGCTACCAGATGCCGGTTCACTCCCAGGGAGACTGGCAAAGTGGCGTCATGATGTACCTGCAGGGGGATTCACAATCCAGCATCGGCACACACCAGCAGGGTGAGGAGCATTTCATCTATTCATTCATCTCATTTGAATTATCGCTGTCTCTTCATACAACGTCGCTGAGGTCCGGGAACATCTCCTCTAATCCGTCAGTCTTTTCTTGTCGGTTCCAGGTTATCCAGGCCCCAGTTCCAGTGTGATGTGCTACACTCAAGGCGCTCAGCAGATTCCTGCCCCTGTTAAAGGTGCGCACTGATATGCTTTTATGCTTCATCCACACTACTACGTTTTCATTTTTAAAACACCTGAAAACCTGAAAACGCAGACATACCTGAGCAATCACGAACACTGGGCGTGCGCGAGCCGGTGTAAACAGGAAGCAGATTGTCTGATTGTCATTAACACTTGTAATTCACTATCCATGTTGTATTCAACACTGGTAGTCGAGGCAGATAAGAGCCAATCAGGAAGTGACCCTGGGTGTCTACGTCATCGTTTCCAAAAGTCTCCGTTTTCAGTGCTTGGAAACGTCGGAGTCGTGTGGACGGGAGGCAAAAACATAGCAAAAGAGATGCGTTTTAAAACGAAAACGTAGTAGCCAAGACTCTAGCAACAACTTGAAACCTACATCTTTTTTTTTTTTTTTTTTTTTGTGTGATTTTGTGACAGAAACTGAATTGGTTTTCCAAACTGTGCTGTTGTGTTTTCAGGGCTTGAACACCACTCCAACGCTCAGACAAGTGGCAAACGGCACAGCGGGGACTCTGGGAATGGCAAAAGCTCTAAAGTCCAGAGGCAGAGCACTCACTAGAAAAGGTTAGCCGGAAACACAAAACTTATTTCTTACCTTAGATTTCATAAGAGAAACTTCAAAGTCTTTCAGGCAAAATTGTTCCAGTGGATGTAAAAGACGAAATTTAGATGTTCACTTATCAACCGAAAACAATAGAGCTGCCACAGACAGGTGAATGAGGCAGGCGTGCAGGCCATTGTTATAAATACAAAAAGCATTAAATGACCAATCAGCAGCTGCATATTGTATCTTTAAATTCATATTCTGCTGAGAAATGTTTGTGTAGGAGGAACCTGAAAGTTTTCAGTAGGATTTTGATCTTCATGACATTTGTTGACAATAAGAAAAATACCAAACATCACCAGAGCTGCTCTTTCAGTTGCACATAATGAACTTTAGGTGTTCGCTTTAAGATTCCTCCTTTCCTCCTTCTGTCACGTTTCCTTTTTTAGCAATAGTTAAGAGTTAATATCTGAGTGCATTTATTCGTTTTTAACAGTCAGTATGTCGATGTCTTTTCTTCTCTCCACACAGGAGTTCTCTGCAGACTTGCCGAGACACGCCGGCCAACACAAAGTGGACACTTACGTTTTTGTTTAAGCACTAAACTGTTGCATGACCACACCTACAGGAGGAGCGTGCAAACCTGTCAATAAACACATTCATTCACAAGTTAAAGTTTCTCGAGTAAACGGACTGTACATTATCATGTGGACTGAACACGACCTGGCCAGTGCTGACATCACTGGAGAGGCTGCGACACTGTGCTTATCTTTGGGTTAATATTGCTGGGACTGAGGTCCTTGTGTATATAATGAATTTGCTAATTTCAGCTCACATACAACTTGTACATATTTGGATATTGTATGTGTGTTTTCTCTCTTTGTGTAGCCATAGACCCATTGATATATTTTTGATATGAGAAATCGTTGTGGATGGATCTTTCTTTTTTGGAAAATTTTCAATAAAAATGAAAGCATTTATAGTCCCTGCATTCTAAAAAAATGTTGCGAAATCTTGTATCTCTGCTAATACATCCGCCTGTCATCATTTACTCTACTTCCCACCTTTCTCCTTTTTGAGCCATCCGATGTATCTATCAGCAGAAGTGTTTTGAGCATTTCCTTATCTCTACCCGAGTAGTAGTCAGCTCGTTATACTCCGTACCGCTGTAGAGGCGATATCATTATGACGTTAACTATCAACTTATTGCCCTCGTCAATGGCTTTTGAGAAAAGGTGACAGAAATAAAGAGTCTTCATATCATGCCCCCCCCCTTCCGTGTAATTCCCAATAAATGTACCACTGGAGAGAACTGCTTCGTTTGCTTCTTGTTCCTTCTCAATGTGCTTGTTTAATTAAAACTCGGTTAAATATACAAATGGTATGAGTCTGTTCTTTGGTGCTGAAGTGTTGAAAACAGTCAACTCGTCATATTTAACCTTTAAATAAGAGTTCAAATTAAATGGGACGGATGGGTGCAGCATCAGCAGTGATGTGGAGGTTGTATCGGGATTGTTGTGACGGAGCTGATCCAGAAGGCAAAGCTCTCGATTTTTACCAGTGGATCTTCCTTCACACCCTCACAAGCTCCGGGTAGTGACCGAAATGAGCTTCCTCCGCAGGGGCGGCTGGGCTGGTGAGGAGCTCAGACATCTGGAGGGAGCTCGGAGTAAAGTCACCTCCTGGGCGCCTTCCTTTGGAGGTTCTCTGGGCACATCCAACTGGGAGGAGACCCCGGAGTTAGACCCAGGACTCGCTGGACAGATTACATGTCCCATCTGACCTGGGATCCCCCAGGAGGAGCTGGAAAGCGTTGCTGGAAAGAGGGACGTCTGGAATACCCAGCTCAGCATGTGCCGACCTCGACCCCAGATGAGCGGAAGAAAATAGATGGATGTGGGGTTTTTGACACTGAACAAAAAAATTAAAAGACGTCACAGATGTTGACATTTATTGCTCATCGGTTGTGTTCAATTACCACAAACAGTTCGTTCGTTACAGTAGTAAATCTTAATTTACAAGATGGACAGGCAATGATTGGCACTCGAGATTTCAAGACAGTCAGTGTCATATTTTCAGAAGAGCCCTCAGCATCAGATCAAAAGACCGTGATGAAGGCCACAGGTCAAAACATTTGCTTTATAGTAAACTTGTTCTCAATACTACAAGTATTGCTGGAGGTTTGATATTTCAAACTGCCTCCATTCTTCATGCACTTTGCAGAAAGGTGAAGATGTGAACCCCTTCTCATATTCAGGAGTAAATAGCATCCATTGTTTTTTTCCCCCACATATATTAGCACAGTGCAGAGTATCAACACATTCAGACATTCACTCCTCAGCAGATCTGAGGGGAGCTACAGGGTTGAAGAGTGGCCTTTGCTGTCTGAGGTGCAGCTTCCCGTAGCTCATCTCAAAGTCCTTCTTGGTTCCCACGATAAAGTCCAAGCTGCCGGAGCGTACGTCGTACCCGTAGGAGGCCAGCTTCTGGATACGGTACAGCACGATTTGTGTGGTGAGCTCCAGGACGTTCGGAGATTTCTTCACCTGCTCCATGCTCACTCCGACGTCCATCAACCCCTGGAACCGCGCCGCCAGGGTGGGCAAGGAGTAGTACAAAATGGCCGGGCAGCGGATCACTGTTTGCTTGAGTTCGTCCTGGGAGCAGGCGAGAGCCCCCTCGATGTAGGCCAGCGCCTGCCGCATGGCTTCAGGCTGCAGCTCTGCGATGGAGGCTCTGAGGCTGGACACCAGGCTGAGGAGCTCCTCGGTGCTGAAGCCCTGCTCCCTGAGGAAGCCCAGACTGTCCCTCCAGGCCTCAGCGGGCCGCAGCAGGATGTACGGGTTCTGGCTGAGGAGCTTCTGCAGCCAAACACGCAGGTTGCCCTCATCGCCGCCTAGATCCAGGTAGGTCTCCCTCAGTGTGTGGATGACCTCCTGGTTGCTCTCCACAGGTCGACTGAAACTCTGCGGGGCGCTGGCCATCAGTTTGCCGATGATCCGCTTGTTCAGGCGAAGGCTCTGGAGGTAAAGGATGTTGGCCCGCTGGTTGCTATGGTGAGTTAATGTAAAAAAGGAGGCCGGGAACTTCTCAATGATGCTCATCAACTCGCGCTTGTTGGGGCACACAGACACCCAGAGGTCTCTCTGGGCGGCGACATCCCCCGGCCGACACAGGACAGCCTCAGGGTGAGTTTCCAGGATCCGGGCGATTGCCGTCGTGTCTGCACCCATGTCCCTCAACAGATCGGCGGTTTCAGACACATATGCAGAGCTCTCAGACAGGACCCAGCCCTTGAACTTGCGTACCTTGCGGATGTCCACTGACAGTTCATAGAGGGAGTCCACTGTGTGCTGGTTTTCCAGTCTCTTGTTCTGAGAAGTGACATTGGAGGCAGCAGCAGAGGGAGGGAGCAGCAGCCTTATCCTCGGACAGTAAGTGCACAGGGTGGCAGCGGTGATGCGAAGCATTGTTGACAGTGGACCTGCACGGAGAACAGAAGACACAAGAACAAATGAAGATGGATATTTAAGCTCTGGCATTGAGTAAAGTCCTAGTTGATCAAGATACACCTTGATAAAAACTTAAGCAGTCTGATACAGCTGTGTTATAAGGCAGCAGATAACTGGAAATCTGATGAACATCTCCTCAATTATTTGATGTTTTTTTCTGGATAAAATCTCAGAAAATGGAGAAAATGACAATCGCAATTTCCTTAAATCTACGCTGACATTTTCATTACTTGTTTTGTCCACCCAAAACCCACGAATATTTAATTAACTACCGTATTAAACTAAGAAAAAAGCTGGTAACAGTGAATTACACATTTGTAAAAAGTACATTTGTTGGTGAAACAGATAGAGCAGAGTTTTTCTTCCCCCATGTCTTATTAATAACCTCACACCCCCCCAGCTTTACCTTATGAAGGTTGTTACTATCCTACAACATGACTGATCAATTTATTAAAAGTTTCAGTCAACTAAAATGCACGGGATTAGTCTAAATTAAGATTTATCTGCAGAACCAATTAACTACCTCTGTTTTCTACACCCCTAAAACCAAACTTAAAGCTTTTCATTAAAGTTATGGCCCTTAAACTCACATGAATGCTGTCACTGCACTGTCTGTGACTACATCCTGTTTTTGTTTTTTTTTATTCTTCTCAAGCATCAGGGATATTCTGTGCATATTATTTAGGAAGTTCACCACAGGTGTAAAATGGTGCCAGAGGTCAAAGCATGTAAAGACAACACATAAATCCATATCTCAGTTCGTTAATGTTGCATGTGTGTGACAGAGCTGCGTAAAGCTCGAGTTAAAATGCTTGAATAGTGACTGTCCTCAGATTTCACAGGCTGGAACAAACACAGGGAACACTGTGTCCCTGCTGGCCTGCACATGTGAATCTTACATGTTATGAATTTGTTTGTGTGGCACAGGCTTTGCAGAACCAGAGACAGTGCACACCGAGACTACAAACCGACACGAGACACAATAAATCCACGGTATCCGTAGAAAACTAACAGATAAAACTTGTTTACATGTTTACAGTAAAGAAAAAAACAAAACAAGGTCATATTACCAGTTTGGATCGCTGCTGTTGCTTCTGGAGGAATCCGCCAAACACACCCACCAGTTCGGTTTCATAACAAGAGTGGAGCCGCTGGGCGGAGTCACAGAGAAGCACATGGGAGGCACGTGACCGCCTCGCAGCTCGCGAGAAGCCGGTGTTTGGAATCCAGTCACGCCCACCGGACCATTCACAGCCGCTGTCACGTATTCTCATAGCCCCAGTGGCAAACCGCCGTGACGTCACCCATTGGTTTGTGAATTGCCGTTTTGAAGCCTCGAGTTTGGCTTAATAGACGTCAATACTTTCACCTGTGAAGGTGGTGACTGTGCCAGAGCGGAGCAGATTCTGTTCTTAAAATGTTTCTACTATCATCAAAAGTAGAAATGAAGTAAAAGGCAAGAAACTGAATCTGTGAATACTGAGGAGAAAGAATAATAAACAACATGTTTGAATGTGCCTGCTGCTTGGTGCGTGTATTTCGCTCCTCACGTTTCAATCTGTACAAAGGACGTGATTTTCAGTTTCATTCATGTCGTAGAGACTTATCCTGACACTGACTTCAGTCACTGCAGGTGTCCCTCAAAAAGCCTTTTGAAGCTGTCACGACTGGCCAAAATAACCTCACATTGACGGTTTCAAACCCAAATTTGTCCCAACAACCATATCAAGACATGTATACACACATGTACATGCCCTAACAGAAGTTGATCTGCAAAAAAGTTATACCACTATATCCCCATATAGAGGATAGCTTCTAAGGTCAAACTTTTATAACCTACCTTACCTATTACCTTTTTGAGACTCTTATTATTATAAGTGTCTGTGCTTCTGTATTTGGCAGTATAAATTGCAAAAGGTTTTGTACAACAGAACCAATAATTCCCTCTTACCATATTGAGACTTTTATTTTGAAAGTTAATCCATATCGTGGAGATGTGTTTGTACATTTCTGTCAATAAGTGTGTGTGTGTGTGTGTGTGTTGAAGTATGACGCAGGAGTAGAGCTCCAAAGAGGACTGGATTTGGTCGTTTTGAAGATGTCTCCTCATTTATTCTCTATGGGATTTTTTTTGCCTTTTATCAGCATTTACGTTGCCATGGTTACTTGAATTGCTAAGAATATATATATTGTCTGGGTTTTCTCAAAGCTGCAGGACTAGTTACATGCCGAAATTTCAATACAGAAGATGAGTAAGACGAATAAGTATGCAGAATAATATATGCCTGCAATGCTATTGCATTGGCCAGCACCTGCAATACACCAACAAACAGACTGTTTTAGGAGTTCCAGTTTTCATTAAAAGATAAATCACAGTACAGATTACAACACACCAACACAGCTTTATGACAAACTCTTACCACTGAGTCCTCAATTTAATTCAAAGAGCTGGATGTTGGTCTGAGCCATCAACCTCAGGCTGGCCGGCCTGCCTCTCTAAGGGCCACATAGTCCTTGAGAATGAATGACCACCAAGTCATCATGGTCCCTCTGGACACGTGGCCACTGGGTGAAGATGGCAGAGCTGCAAATGGCCTCCACCAGGTGGCTAACACTGGCCCAGTTTGCAGGGCCTGAGTTCAGTCCAAGAAGACAGCTGAAAGATAATCACAGAGAGCAGTGTGTGTTAATATAGATCTGATATTCATTAGAGGAAACAGTGATATTTGAAGCGAATTACAGACACAGCAGTGGTGTAAAAGCAACTGTAAGAGCATAAATAAACTTTACTTTCCTTCTTCAAGTATAACCACAAAGAGATAAAACCTTACTACAAAGAGACACAAAAGCACAGAGACTCAACACAACCACAAAGTGACATAAAACAACCACACAGACAAAAAATACAAGGACACAATGACACGGGGAGGGTGTTTTGTTCCTTTATAGGATGGGGGCCCTTCTCATTGTTTTATAATCTGTCCATGGTATAATGGAGGTCAACAGGGGCCCAACAACAGTCTTTGCCCCGGTGCCCCCTGGGAGGTTAATCCGGCCGTGCTCAATGTAAATTACACTCTAAAACCCTGATCCCAAATAATGAAATAACCCTTTATCTTCTAGCCAATCAGAAGCGTTCCTCTTCACTACAAACCAATCAGAGAGCAGTGTGAGCTGATGAAGACAGTCAACGGCAGTTCACCTGCTCAGTTTGAGGGAGCGGGACTGGAGGAGCACTGAACACCTGTTAATAGTTTTTTTTTTCTACCGTAAAGTACATTTTTAACGGATGGAAAGCGACAGTGGACCACCTTCCTCGCGCCAAAGTGGAGGGTGACGTCCCCCTAACTTGTCACTAACTGCTCCGCCGGTACCGTCGTCATGGCTCGGACCGGCTCCGGGACCCTTCTCTCCCGCCGAAACATCAAGCTGGACTCCTTCCTGAAGCGGAACACGGAGCAGGCGGTGTACGAGCGGATCCGAGCCTACGAACCGTGCGTGGTGATTTCAGAGACCGTTAACAAAGTGTACATGCACGTAGTGCTGAGCGATGAGCTCGTGTACCTCACAGAGTACCCGCCGCGCACGCTCACCGCTGCCGTTAGCTTCAGGCGCGTGCGTGACATCGAGCTGGTGAGTAAAATCAATTCAAAACTTCACTTAATGGTAACGGCTACAACCAACAGTCGTTTTTAGAGATGAAATGATCAGTTCATCGATGAATTGATTAACAACAAATCAGTTTGTAGCAGATTAAGTCAGTATTTTGATAGTTGTTGAATCATTTGAGAAAGATTTTCAATCTAAACCGTCGAAAACTTGCTTGTTCCAGCTTCTCCAGCGTGGAGATTTGCTAGTAATTTCTCAATTTTATATAATTTCAAACTGAATCCCTTCATCTCAAGTTGAATTACTTGATTAGTTGTGTGACAGAAAATACATTGTCAACCATTTTGATATTCTTTAATCATTTTAAATCATTTTTTTCAAAGCTAAATTTCAAAGGTCTCTGGTACCAGCTTATGGAATGTGAATATTTCAGTTTTCTATGATCATTAGCAATTTCCATTAACAATTTGGCTTTTTGACAGCTGGTCTGAAAAAAATTTAATATGTTATGTGACATGGCTCTTAAATACAATAAACTAGGACTGCACCAAATGATTATTCTATGATTGATTAGTCTGTCAATCATTTCCTTGATTTATGGATTAGTTGTTTGGCCAATAAGAATTCAGAAAACAGTGTAAAATGGCCACCAAATTTCTTAAAGGCCAAGATGCCATTTCAAATTATCCAAAGACATTGTTTTATCTATGATAGTAAATTCAGTGTATGGAAACGTTGGCATTTTGTTTAAAGACTTTCAGTGAATTGAATGGAATTATCAAAATTGTTCCCAATTAATTTACTGACCACAGGTTAATCGACTAACTTTCAGATCTAATCTTGCACTTTTTCGAAAAAGTAAAGTTTGACATCTGGTTCCAGTTTATCAATGTAGCAGATTTGCCTAAATTTGATAGTAAACACAATATTTTTAGGTTTGAATTATTAATTAATCCAGAAAAAAATGATTAACTGATAATTAAAGTAATCTTTAGTTGCTGCCCTAATCGTGACCAAAGCAAATTAAATTACCTCTGTTGCTATGCTTGCTTATTAACTAATAAGCTCCTGCTGTGTGATCCCAGTTAAACTCTTCAGATTACAGATCAGCTATTTTGACTGACAGGTTTCACTCCAAACCTTTTCTGCTAGCTGAGGTAATTCAATAAATGTTATATCGGACATACATATGTAACATTTTTTGAAAATTACATAATTTGGATTAAACCAGCCTGTGCCAGTCATGCTGCTGGTTCCCCATTCTGCTCACTGTTTGTGCAGTTCATTCAGTTCGTTTTTTCATTGCTGGAATATTATACTTAATACTACACAAATTTGCCNACAGATCAGCTATTTTGACTGACAGGTTTCACTCCAAACCTTTTCTACTAGCTGAGGTAATTCAATAAATGTTATATCGGACACTACATACGTATGTAACATTTTTTGAAAATTACATCATTTGGATTAAACCAGCCTGTGCCAGTCATGCTGCTGGTTCCCCATTCTGCTCACTGTTTGTGCAGTTCATTCAGTTCGTTTTTTCATTGCTGGAATATTATACTTAATACTACACAAATTTGCCATTTCGGTTGCAACCAACTATCAGGTAATCTGCAGATTATTTTTTTCGTAATTGTTTAGTCTATGAAATGTGAAAAAAAAAAATGCCCACAATTTTGCTCAAAAGTTCGCAGTCTTGTTTTGTTTGACTAAAAGTTCAGATACCAACAAAATATTTATTTTGAAATGATATATGACTATAGAGAATATATGACACTGTTTCACTATTTTTGCTTGAAAAAATGACTGAAAAGATGAGTTGATTAATTAAAATAGTTGCAGATTTTTCTTTTCTGTTGACCGATTACTTTGGGACAGAGGGGAGAGAGGAGAGGAAAAGATGCTGTGTGCGGTGAAGCGGACAGATTGATGCCGGTGCTTTAAAAACAACTGCAAGTTAGTTATTGTATTTTCCTGTCTCCTAGAAATAACACAAAATCACTTTGGTTAAGGTGAGGGGATCGTGGATGTTGGTTAAATGTAAATAAACAGGTTGCATCTAAAGTCCCTGTGAACTCTTTCTTTATTAAACCAGACCAGGATGTTTCCCCTTACCTTAACCAAAATTAATTTTCTGTTGATCAACTAATTAACAAATCAGTTTCAGTGCATTATTTAGTCAGTAAAACATTAACAATGACCAATTCCAACCAGTGAATCGGCAGCCAAAGCATTTTTATATTTTGTATATATTTTGCCTGTTCCCTAATCATCTGAAGTGCCTGACAGCAACACAAACCTCCCACAGAGAGAGTGACAGCAACACAAATAAAAAGCCTTTCCTGTCTAATAAAGACATTTTAGGAAACCGTTATCCTTGGATAACTCCAGTCCACACTACCCACGTCTTAAAATAGATTCACCTTTAGTGCGACCATAATATAACACTACATAACATGCAGACGTTATCCAGAGGGGAAGCTGGGTCTGTGTGTGGCAGCATTAGCCTCTAATTCCCACTCCATCATCTTGTTATGTCAGAGGTCAAAGTTCACCGTCTTCTTCAAAGAGTTAATCCCGTCTGCAGTAAACAGTCAGATTACAGCCTGACTGCGGCATCAGCAGGTGATTTAACAGTTTTTATGTAGAGGCCAGGATTGTGACATCCGTGTATTTTGTGAAAATGGATGAAGTTGAAAATGTTTTTGCTAATCTAATAGATGGAAACCTGCTAACACCAACATGTAGATCAATATGACAACAGAAAAAAAGATGATTTATGGAGGTTTAATCATGATGCACATCCTCTTTCTCCGTGTCATCCATACAGGTCAACGACCTCCCAGAATTCCTCAGTGGGAAGGACAGGGAACGCTGCCAGCACATACGACTCACCTACGTCACTGACAAGCCTGCTGCGAAGGGACGTGACTGGTTGAAGAGAGACAAGAGGACGGCACTTCCTCCTGCAGCCCCGCCCTCTCGCAGAGGCAGCCACTGCCCTTTAATAACGCACACCTTAGAAGGTAAAAACGAGTGTGTTGCTGTTTTTATAGGTTTGTGTACCAGCTTTGAGGAAGGTATAAAGGCTGAAAAAATCTGTAAAAAGTCAGTACCTGCTACTACCTGTCAGTCAGTTGCATCCCTACTTGAGCTGTGGGTTTTAATCGGGGTGGAAATCAGTGATCTGATCCTCGTTAAGACTGAAGCTCATGTGGCTTTAGTTTCTTTATTTCTTTCTCCTGATATCTGCACCTGTAACTTTAACCATCCTGTTTCTCTATCTCCCCACAGGATATCCTGCAGGGAGGTGAGCATTACACCCCCACACACACACACTCACTCATGCTCTTTCCATTGATGTGAGGACACTCCTTGATAGAATGCATTACCTAACTCCTACTACAGAAACCTCCTACCTTTTAATCTTAAGTGTATAGGAGCGGATTTTTTCCAGTTTATTTGATGCAAATCCTAACTAAAGATAGGAAAAGTGCTTTCTAACATCCCAAAATCTTAAATATACTCTACTAATACTAGGATAACTGTTAATCTGTCCTAACTTTAACTTTTCCACCACTAAGCTAACTGGTGTCACACACGTGGCAGCTCTTTTTATTGCTTTTACACAACCAATGAAATGTCAACAGATGGAACTTATTCATGGGGAGGCTCACGGCACACCCTAACAAAACGATGTGTTGTGGTTTGATGATAAAATGCTTGTTAGTAGATACAGGCTACCCCAGGCCATGATCATGCAGTTAGCTGAGCAGCTACGACCAGCCTGGCGACGTGGGGTTCTCCCGGCTGTGGTGCACCTTACAAATGTGCTTTGTTTTTTGCTAAAGGAGATTTTTAGCCATTTCAGTGAGAAATCTAACTAGTTACAAAAATACAGTGAGACGAGATGAGAAACTTAGCATCGGTTGCTAGATATCAGACATAAAAGTTGATAACCAATGTTGGCTCAAGTATTTAGGATTTCCTAACCTGAGATAAGACAGGATGAAGTAAGGTAAAATAGGACTTCTAAAGTTAGTTACGATAGGAACATTTACTCAGGAACTATTAACATATAATGGCTTTTAAATCAGGTCCTATCTTTAATTACAACAGTTACCCAACAGTTAAGATGGGAATAAGTTAGGAGGTTTCTGTAATACGTCCCCTGAAAGTCTTAAAACTCAATCAGCCCTCTCAATTTGTGAGGACTGACCTGAGTGCACGCACGCACGCACACAGGTCCTTGGTTTGTCAGATGATACCCATGTATGGAAGCTGAGACTGGCTGTGGTTGCTCTCACTTTTTAAAGGAATACTACACCAGAAATCTATCATCACACACTCCCAATGCATCGGCAGGTTTGAATGAAAGCTCAGTAAAGTTTGTGTGTGGTTGGTGAACTGCTGCAGCTTTAACTCAGTCGCAGCAGCTGCTGGAGCTTCTGTGTTTTCCCTCTCCTGCTCTGTTTACTTTGTGAATCACTGCTCACCGTTACAGTCGATAAAAAAGTCATTGAGGAGGGAAAGTAAAGGATGAGAGCTAACTGACCGTGACTCCTCTCTCACGACTGTCTGCAAACAACTCATGACCTCCTCCTATAATGACCCTCTTCAGTGTCTCAGGTAGCTCATGACTTATTTACTCAAGAGAGACGAGTTTCCCCTGAGTTCGCCTGCTGCTCATTAACATCGTTCACTGAGCCGCTCCGCTGAAAACTACCACCATTAACGAGCAGAGTGATCATTCAGCTGATACACAAGCTGAAAAGTAGAAAAAAGCAGATGCAGCAGTTTAATTAATTTATTAAATCATTTGTTTGATCTGTAAAATGGTACAAAAAAAGTGAAAACAGTTTCTATGTCTTCTAATGTCTTGTTTTGTCCGAGCTACAGTGCAAAACCCACAGATATTCAGTTTACAATCATAAGACTTGAGCTGCAACTAGCGATTATTGTCTTGATCAATTGCTGATCATTTTCACGATTAATAAATGAATCCTTTGGTTTAAAAATGTTGAAATCACAATCGATCCCAATCACAGTTTCATAAAAGGCTCATGTGATGTCTTAAAATCTCTTGTTTTGTCAAAGGTCTAAAACCCAAACATATTCAGTTTATATCGTATGCAACATATCTCAAGTCTGTTAGAAAAACAATTAAAACAATTTAATGAATTATCAAAAATTATTCTTGATAAATTTTCTATTGATGTACTTGAAATGTATTTTATTTATTTTTTAAGATAACTTGATTTGGAAGAAGAGTTCGACCAATCGTTTCCCTTCCCTGAGATTGTGAGCTAAGTTAATGTTAGCCTAACGCTACACATTTGCAAGCTAGCTGGATATCTTTTCATAGTATTCATTATATTAATATTGTCCATGATCCATGTTGTTGTGTTAGCATCCAGTTTCTTATTCGGTAGAGTCACCTGGAGCTGCAGTGTAGTCCTCCTTTAATTATATTTGAGCTGTGGATGTGGATTAATGTCAGTTTGTAGACTGTGAAGAGACGCGCTTACTGAACACTGGATTGTTGCCTGGTTACAACAACGTGCTATCAAATGGATGTGTGTGATGTAAACAACTGTCTCATGCTGATCTGTGTCGCTGCTCAAGTGTAGTTCACCCATGGGAAGTCATTAAAGACACACTTTTGTCTTTTTATACTTGTGAGGACCCTCTCTGACATAATGTGTATTCCCTAGCCCTTAACCTTAAATACCTGACCCTGAACCTTAAGCTGATTGTGAAGCTTTGGACAAACCTGAAGACCGGCTGAAACCACTGACTTGCACAGAGAACCTAAACCTGAGGATTGAGTAAACACACTAGACAACACATTGACCTATTATCCTGTAACCTCTGGAGTTTTGATGCTAAGAAAACGTCTCAAACCCCATTTAAAAATACCAATTATCACGTGCTCTTGACCCAAATATTAACCTTCAAGCTGTCCGGCAAAAACATGCTCACTTTTTAAACTCAAGTGGGTCCTCACAAAGATAGCTATGCAAGCCAACACACACACACACACACACACACTCTCTGTGTCAGAAGTAATGAGTGATCTTTGGGGACATGAAGCAGTTTACAACCACTGAATCACTATGTGACCATGACTGCCAACATGTCCGCCATAAAAAACGTGATATCAAATGGTGATGATATGTCAGTGTTGTGTTTACAGCTTCGTAAGTTTTTAAAAGGTCAGTTACTGCAGGTTTTAGCATCTACTGACTTTGATATAATTCAGCTGTGTCAGTGTTTGTTTGCTTCCTCAGGTCTTCAGGTTTTAGATCAGCTGAGACTGAGACTGAGGTTCCCAGTTTTACAACTTGATGTATTTACAATTGAGAAACTCCTGGTAAACGTCACATGACAGGAAATCAGCATTATGAAATGAAATAATTTCCTAAAACAGCTGTTCTGTAGTTTTTACTAAACGTTACTCAGACAGGAGCAAATATTAGTTGGAGATTTTCAGAGGTGGATTAATCTGCAGTTGCTGCTCTAAACCTCAAATTCCCAGATGCCCCAGAATACACAGGTGGAAACCCTGAGCTCCACGGCTCAGAGGAATAAGATGTATCACACTTTGGATAGACACACTTTACTTTACCTGAACAGGCGTCTCCCACCTCTCCGTCTCTTTCAGGAGCCGCAGTGAATGGAGGAAAGGAGGAAAGGAGCCCCACATGTTAAAGCCTACCCGCTCTGCCTCCTGTCCAAACCCTGAGACTCTTGGCCTCCTGAAGGTCCCACACCCTCCCACCCAGCCGCCCTCCTCAGCACCCTCCCTCTACTCCCCCACCAGCTCCCTCACCTCTTCTCCTTCACCCTCAGAACAAAGCCTGAGGACAATTAAGAGTGGTCAGGTATGGACGGGGTGTAACATCAATACTGTTTTTACAACCAACCGGCTGGATACACAATTACAATTATTTTTTATTTATTTATTTATTTCACAAATCTGGATCCAGGTTCCGAGGAGGATCGGCTCGGTTCTGTCTCGTCTGCTCAGAAGAGACTGTGTGAACAGCAGGGAGGAGAGGGAGGCGGAGCTGCATCTCTACGCCGTCTCACAGACGTCCAGACTTTACCTGCATCTACAGAGCTCATGGAACAGTTTTATTATCGTGAGTGATCAATGCGTTTGATCCCAATCAAAGTTCTGATCAGTGATTTAATCCTGAGGGTACATAATATAGTGTAGAAAATAAAATATAGTATGAATGTATAATAAGAACTACAATATAATATTTGTATGATAGATAATATAGTTTGCAACAGGTGTGTGATTTTCCAAACAAGAAACTGAATTGTTTTATTGTTTTAAAATGTATTTTATTTATTTTAATTATCAACATGTTGAGATTAATCCTGTTTTTCTGGGTTCTTCTCAGTCTTCTAAATTAGAACCTAAAATATGATTGACAGTCTAGTTCTGTAGAAAAAGTTACAGTGTGTGTGTGTGTGTGTGTGTGTGTGTGTGTGTGTGTGTGTGTGTGTGTGTGTGTTCGTTCAGAGGTCCACTCTATTGTTGGACCCACTCTACAGAAGAAAGTGCAATGCTTCCTCTGACTCCTCCCCTGGGAAACAGCGTCCGGCCATCAGGTAACAAACTCTCCTCTAACACTGTTCACACCTGGATCAGAGGCTCATAATGAACTCTGCTCGTTTCCTGTCCGTCCAAGGAATATGAAAAAAATCTACGGTATTATGCCTCAACAGGTCCCAGTGCACCCAGAGCAAACCTATATGACAGTCTATGTTAACATCATAGCTGAACATTCACTTGGACTCGAGGATGAACTGCTTAGATTCTGGTGGTCAAAGGTCACGGTGACCTCACTAAGCATGATTTTGGCCATTTGAACGCAATATCTCCAGAACTCCTCAAGGGAGTCCCTCCAGATTTTGCACACATGTCCACTTGTACTCAAGGACGAACCGATTAGACTTTGGTGGTCAAAGGTCAAGGTCAGTGTGACCTCACATAACACTTTTTAGCCATAACTCAAGACTTGACCCAGCAATTATGACAAAATTTCACAAAAAAATGGTTCATATTTATATGACTGGATAAACAGGGATGTAACCTGAAACTAACCTGATGGATATGCCTGTGTATTATTACATAAGCTTTTTCTGATAAACTGATCAAGTTTCATTCTCTGGTGGCAAATGTCACTGAGGTTAAGAAATAAATCTAGATGAGTGAAACTGGTATTTTTTTTCTGTACCATTTAATGTCGAAGAACATATAAGACCTGAAGACGTGTGTGTGTGTGTGTGTGTGTGTGTGTGTGTGTGTGTGTGTAGCTGGGAGCGGACGGCCCACCTGTTCGCTCAGCTGAGCTCGGAGCTGCTGCAGGACGAGATCAGTGTGGAGAGTTCGTACCTGCTGCTGCAGGAGCTGAGAACTGCTGCTCACCGCAACGTCACACTGCGCAGACTGTTCTGGAGGGTGAGACGCTAACACTGAAAACAAACGCATACACTTTGATATCTGACTATTATTTTGGGTTTTTTTTTTTCAGTGGAGGAAATACTTCTAAAAATTTGCTGTTGTAATAAATGAATATTATTTTCTATTTTCCTGATAGCTCACTTCAAACTTCTGTTTCACATAACTTTATTGCACAATGTTGTTTACAAATATTTCTGAGGTTACCAGGTTACCAGACCTGCTGGCTGATTGCTGAGCTTTTGCTACCCTCTAAATAAAAAAGTGCAAACAGTGTGAGGCTGAATAATTTAGCCTATTTTAATAATTTAGTCTACAAGTATAAACAAGCCAAGAATGAATGCATCATCCTGTGGTTTAGTGCCTTTATCACAGACCTGATGTCACAAACCTCTGTGTGTTTCAGTCCAGTGAGGTTTGTGTTTTCCTGGTTCAGACTCTGGAGGAGTCTCTTCACGGCTGTCAGGGCCTCAGTGGAGTCTACACAGAAGATCAACTACTGTAAGCTGTGTGTGTGTGTGTGTGTTCTTAAACCTTTAATACAATCAGTCAGGTTGTAGTAAGCTGCTTTGTTTTTACACAACACACGTTACATTAACTTAAAGGACTACGCTGGTGTTTGTGGATGTGTTGATCATCTTATGTCATGACAAAGATCAACACTCAGTCAGCACTTTACCATGAACACCACACGAACACTGGGTAGTTCCTCCCTCTGCTGTCAAACAGCCTCAGTTCTTTGTGTCATGGATTCCACCAGATGTTGGAAACTGGATTTAGATGTGGAGACTGGGGAGTTCACTGAAGTTCTCTAAACTCAAAACTGGTTTCATGAACATGGCAGTGAGCTCAAACAACAAAACTGACCCATCCGCAGACCAGTATGGCTGATGAGCTCCAGTCTGACAGTCTGTAACTACATGGTGAGTTTAGGTTAAAGAATCTGATTCCAAGCTGCTGTTTGTCCTCAGACTGAGCACCGTGATCGTCCAGACGCTCGCCGTCATGTTCAGAGAGACGGAGGTCGAAGCAGCCAGACTCAACCTGCTCTCTGCCAAGAAGTAAACGCTCTGTCTGTCTGAATATTACATGGTCTGTCTTCTTGTTAAACTAAACCACAATTTAAAAAAACAACAAAAAAAACATTTCAAGTATTTCTCCAGAAGGAAACCATTGAGACAAATTGAGAAAAATAACTTGTTCATTATGTTATGATGTCCAGTTTATTTATTATTATTTTGTACTTTTTATTTTATACTCTTTTCCTTGTTGGCAACATTTTAGAAATCGAAATAGACCAAACGTGGTAGTTTAAAGGTGGACTGAAAATATGCCTAAATCCTGACACACATTTTTCCCTGGTAAAATTCAGGTACATGTTCATATTGTGATTTAATTTAAGTGCCTCTACACTGCACTGATGTAGAAGTGAAAGGATTAGTTGATTAATTGATTGAATGATTGACATCAGTTCTGATAACTGATCAGTCGTCATTTTTCCAGAAAAATCTTTAAAGCATTTGCTGGTACTCAAATCTAAGAATGTGCTGTTTGATTTCTGTGTAAATTACATAAAAAATGTTTTTTTTTTATATATATATTACGTTCTGTCAGTAACCATTAATCACTTCAACAAATGAATAACCAACAGATATAATGTGTATAAAGTGAAAATACCAACAGCAATAGAGTGAGAAATGTGCCTCAACTTGTAGTTTCAATTTCTGTCTGGTGAAATTTATTCACGTTTTCTTTAAAACAAACTTTTGATTGATAAATATAACATGGTGAACACTGGTTTGGTAAAATAAGTGATGTAAAACAATAGAAGATAGAAGGAAGAGTTAAATTCCAGCCGTAGCTCAGTGGTTCTCTCTCTGCAGAGGTTGCCTGGCCTCCAGGATGCTGCTTGCCTTGATTTGTGATCCACGTCTACAGACACAGAACCGAGGATCTCAGATTGACTCTGAGGTGAGCTGCTCTCTGCTGACGTTAACAACACTGTGTTAACCTTTATTTTTTGTGGTGGATTAGTTACAGTCGTCTCTGTCTCTGCCAGCTTCAGGCCTTACTGTCTGAGTATCTGGACGCTGCCTGCTCTCTGCTCTTTGAGCTGCTGTGCTCAGGCCACGAGGTGAGTACTGGGTCTGTGTTTACCGAGTGTCACAGGGCAGGAAATCACTCCTCACTGGACAGAATGATGCATTTCTGTCTTTGTATGAGGACTAAAACTAAAAGAAATGTATTAACTTTCCTAACTTTGGAAATCACACCTACCTCAGCCAAAGTTTAATCCTCACCTGTTCGGAGGGTTAGGGCCAGGAGATGATGTTCAGAGATATTCCCCAATATTTATTTATATACTCTTTTTTTTTTTTTTTAATTAATAATTATTTTATTTATTTCATATAACTATATATATTCTATTTTATTATCAGGTCATCTGCGAGTCTTTAAAAGTCCTTCAAAGCATTGAATTCAGTTTCCTGTATTTTCTCATGGCTATCCAGAGACACGACATGACGAAGTGGGTTTTGTGGCGACAGTGGATTGGAGTTTGAAAGCCATTTCTGTGTCATAGTATTTAGTTGTAAACTACAGGCCATAGATTGTTCAAATACTAAAATGCAGTGTGTGTGTGTGTGTGTTTCAGACCAGCGAGTGTTTCTCTTTTGAAAACCTCCTGTCTGTCGGCTGGATCCTGCGAGTCCTGCAGCCTCATCCTCACCTGGTAAAGATCAGAAGACAGATGGACAGGTGGAGATGATTCCGTGTCTTCTCTCTTTCTGATTCTACACCTGTTCTGTCTGCAGCTGTCCTTCATTGGTTACCAGGCCCAGCAGGTGGTGCTGGTTCTGTCAGACCTGCAGGAGTCGGTCCTGAGCCCCGTCCAGGCCGTCCTGTTGTTCCAGCGCTGTCGCCTCCTGCTGGCCTGCCTGCAGTACAACAGCCAGCTGGCTCAGCACCTCCGATCACACTTCAGAGAGGAGTTCAGGTTCGTTCTGCTGCTCCTCTCTGCTGGAGACGGTCTGTCTAAACTTCTCACCTGAGCAGTGATGGTCCTATCATAGCTCAGAAATTATAACTTGGATCTAGGCCTGTCAAGATTCAGCCCCAGTTTGTCAAATACACAGTGCTAAAAATTCTCTAAAATATAATTAATCACCGATGAATGAAATGTATGAAAATAGTTGCTTGGATTTTTTTTGTTTGTTTGTGCCCCTCAAAACCGGTTACACTGGGCAAAAGAGGATGGCTCATGAAGTTTATGTCGCTGCAGCTTGTTTTTACATAATTCCAACAGTTTTTTATTTCACAGTAGAAATGTTGATGAGGATGTGTTTAAAGTTGGACGGGGCTTAGCAAACAGTTTGTCAGTGATGGAAGCAATCAATGATCCGTATCAGTCCAGTGTTAATGTCAGTATTTTACCCCTAATGTCAATTGTTTGGTTGGGTATCTGACATATGTTTCCTCCCTCCAGGTACTTTGTGAAGCCGTCATGTGCTGAGGAGAAGCTGCCGCCTCACTACCCGATCAGCTTACCAACTCTCCGACTGGTCGAACGCATTCTGACTCTTATCCTGCACAGATGATCACACAAACACGTGAGCTTTTACACTGGAATTTTGAATTTTGTGCCTTTATCAAAGTCTGAGGGATTTTGTGCTTTGAGCTGTAAAACCTACGTTTGTCCTTCTGAATGTTTCTGTATTATTATTATTATTTACCAACTGTCTCAGGCCAGGTCATATTTATCCAGATAAGATGTACGAACTGTTAAATATCATCTGTCATCTCTCTAGAAAGTAGAGATCAGTGGAGCTGTATTTCAAGTTAATGCTAATAATATACGGTCAGGTTTGCACAGTCAGAGTCAGATTGCTGTAGATGGATTCATGTAAATTTAAGTTAAATGTATTTTTGTGTGGTGTTTACATTTTAAACTGAAGTGCAGATTCCTCAGGTGATGTGCACTCTAAATAAAATGAGTTGTCATAGTAACAATTCAAGACATAAATTGGGGTAAATGCATATTTTTGTAATTTGATAGCTAGCTGTGTTACAGTCTGTTGCTCCACATATATTTCCTTTAAATAAATGCCTGTTTTGTGGAAAATACATCAAACTTTTGAAACATGAGAAAACGGCTGACTGCAGGTGAGAGGTGGCTATAAGTTACCTAATGTTATCGTTAGCTCAATGATCTATGTTGCTAATAGATGAGGCTGAGACAGATGAGGACGAGTTACAAAAAACTTTTAACCCACAGAAAACAAATTTATTGTTGCCACCGTGACAAAAACTTAATGTGTTTCTTTCATGAAACTTCTTACTTTTACAAAATATTTTTCCTTATTATCCACGAGAGAATAATCACAACATGAACACCTTGTAATTAAAAAATAATAATTTGTTATCTAGTAATAAAAATAACATGTCAAAGTATTTTTCTTCTATTAAATATCTTGTTATAACCAGAAAAAGAGCTTAACAAGAGGTGTTAACATCCAATATATTCTGATATGTTCTCTAGACATCAACAACTTACATTAACATATATAGAGGCACAATTTGACAATAACAAAGACATGATTTGTTTAGTGAATTCTAGTCATCAGAACAAATGCACACTGTCAAAACAGGCATATATGTTTACACAGTATGTATACTGTGTAGTGAGGTTGAGGTAGTTTGTCATGACCTCGTCACACAGCGCTGCGTGTCCCAGCAGTCTGTGCTCATGAAGTCATTCACAACTTGGCCCTGGGAGTCGGGCTGTTGTACATGTGCAGCTGCAGAAAACTCTGAATCTGCCTCCAGGAGTCTTCCTGAGCGTCCGAGTGAGGTTTGGTTTGTCCTCCCCAAAGCATTACCACTGCAACACACATTATATTTGGATAGATTATTCCACAACACAGTGAAGCTGTAATTACCAAGTATCAAAACGTAAAATTAATACATCTGTAGGATTTTAGCAGAAATGTAACAAAGAATAAAGTGACACCAGCAATGAGAGTATATTTTTTACATAGTTTACCCCTTAGTAAAACCAAGCATCAACCTCTGAGTGACAAAAACTGCAGTTCCTCTAGTGACCACTTGAGGCTAACGACAAACAACAAAAGCTTCTGCATTCTTGTGTCACCTGGTAAAACTCACCTTTTTGTTTTCGGACACTTTCTATAAAGTTAGTCGCTCTGAAGTGAGGTGAGAAGGGCGGCTCGATCAGGTGTCCAGCATCAGGGTACGTCAGTCTGGTCAGCAGGTGTTCCTTACCTGCGGCACGCATCAGCTGAGCAATCTGAGGGTGAAAAGTATATATTATATAATATATTGGGAACACCCACTTTCATCATTTCTGGCACACTGTTCCCTCACAAATTGCGTTTTTGGCCATAACTAATTAGAACACAGTTCAACTCAAATGTCTGAGGATAAAATTAAGTGATAACATTTTATATCCAAAAAGTCAAAGGTCAACTTAACTGTGACATCACAATGTTCTGTAAAAATATTTCTGGCCATTATTCAATGATGAAATGGTTGGCGGAGGGATACAACCGCGAGGTGGCGATTCTGGTTTCTACATACATGGATTTAATTGTAAATAACACATCAGGTTTATGAATTTGAACTGCTCTTGCATCTAAACTCCACATTATCAGGTGTGTGCTTGTGCTCACGTCCTCAGCCGACTCCACCGCAGGCCAGTTCTGATCATCAAGACCGTTGACCAGCAACAATGGACAGTTTATTTTCCCCATCTAGCACAAGGAACAACTTTTAAAACGTGTTCAAAACAGTTGACTAGAGCGTACTGTATAACATATATTCTAATCGTTGTGTGTTGTTAGTGCATGTACTCACGTCCATGTTATTTAAGGGGTTACTCATAATTGCCAGACCCATATCTCGCCATATCACATGGTTGTTCTCATCCACACGCACCTTGTGAGAATTCCTGTGATCACACGTCACAGTTTGTGTCACTACAGCTGTAAAACTTTACGTCCTGCTTCACGCCGCTGACAAACACAACACCTACCTGCTCAGCTCCTCGTAGATTCCACTGAGGGGCTTCCCACGTGGGTACGAGTGGTTGCCACTGATGCAAACACAACAACGAGGCTGGAACACGACACAATGAAAATGTCATAAAGCAGCGATTCTCAATAATTGGGCCGGAAAATAAAAAATGTAAAAACCTGCTGGCTCTCAGCTCTCCAAGGT